TATCTGGAGAGGATTATTATAGCTCTCAACTCTGCACTAATGTCTAGCCTCTGAACATGCATCCACGGAAACATAATTCAACTTCTTAATTTTCCAGCCCTGCAGATAATTGGTTCCATAGAGACACAAAGACTCATGCTCTCAACACATGCGTCAGTGATGTTGCTTACCAGTAATCAGAGGATCAGCTTCCTTTGAAGTTCAAAATGTGTGTGTAGAGGGAATTTGGGGTTGAAAGACAATCATTTCTGGGTCCTTTATCATAATTAAACTGGATTATGATTTTTTTTTAGGGTGAAACAAATTTAGCAGAGCTAGACCCAAATTTTTCAGTCTCTCTGCTCTGCATTTCAGCTGAGGTCTCCTGTGGTTTGCCATGCTAAAGAGTACACTGGAATTTAGTAGAAAACAAAGCATACAGTTTCTCTAGTTTCATAAATTATCCTCACTCTCATCTTTGGGCTGAATTATGAACAGCCAAGTTGGGGTAGAACTGGCTCTGTGGATAAAGTCACACAGGAGGTATGGTTTATGGACGTATGGTTTCTGATTTAGCTTCTGCTTCTGGCTTGCTTTGACCCTCTGGGAAGTCACATTGTCCCCATGGCTTTGGTTGGGTTGCTTGTAAATACCAGAAACACATAGCCCAGCACTGTAAGACAAAATTGCTGGGAGGGGTACTCTGATTGATTAGAAATATGGTGGTCTTCAAAAATGAAGAGCACTGTTATTATGGAATCCTGTCTCTATGTAGAATTTGTTTGCATGACACAGTGCATCAAGTTCTTAGAAAAGTTAGGGAGAAGAATGTGATGGCTAATATCAGGAAATGATCTATGCCTTCTTTCTCGTGCTCACTCAGTCATGTCAGACTCTTTGCAACTGTATGCACTCTAGTCCACCAGGCTTTTCTGTCCATGGAATTTCCCAGGCTAGAATACTGGAGTGGGTTGCAACTTCCTTCTCCAGGGTATCTTTTCAACCCAGGGATTGAACTTGCACCTCCAGCATTGACAGGCAGAGTCTTTAGGAAGTCCCCATCTCCTTTTTCACTTAGCCTTTTGTCATAGCTCTGAAGTAAAAATAATACCCCAAATCTTCATCACATTCCAGTTATGCCAAGTGGTGCTGGCTGTCTCCCAAGGTTGAAAGAGTCAGGACCAAGCAGTTTTAAGGAACCTGCCATAGTCAGCTCAGACATGTGCTCTGTCTCTGAGTTGTGAGATCCATTCTTTTAGTCTGACCCAAACTCCAGCTGAGACTATTTTTCCTCTGCAGTTCAGACACTATGAATTTTACATTATTTTGTTTTGCTCCTTCTTGTTTTGGCATTTGATAATAATTCTATTGCTCTGTTACCTTGGAATTCCACCTCTGACCTTTGCTTCTTGCTTGAGAAATTTAGGTCCAAAAAAGCAGATCTCACAGTCATTGTGAACTGTAGCTCTAGATGACGGGTCCATTATGTATCAAGGTTTCCAGTGCTTGGCCCCATCTTGGTCTTGGTGCCAGAGAAATTCACCGAAGGCAGAGCAAAAGATTGATTTACCTAATCCTATTAGAGAAGAGCTATAACAGTTGCCTTCTAAATAATGCACACTATTTCCAGATTAATCATAAAACCTCAGTTATACCCCCTTGCCACCTCCAGAAACCTTCAGTGACTTCCCTATTATATCAAGTGGCTTTCACTGTAAGCCATTCAAAACTTAGTGGACTAAAGCAATCAATATTTATTACTTTTAGCAATTTGGTGGGTTGTTTTTCTGGTCTGGGTTGGCTCCATTGGGCTGGAATGTCTAAAGATGGCTTCAGTCACGTATCTGGATGTGAGTAGGCTGGTGGGTCTAGGCGTCTTACTTGGCACAGCTGGTCTGAAGTGCACCTGTCTCAGGGCTTATTAAGACTTGGCTTGTACCACACTTGCTAATGTCCACCTAGTCAAGCGCAGAATCAAAAGAGGGATCCAAGAAGCTGTAATTGTTGCAGGGGGTCATTGCTACAACACCCTTTAATGAGGTCCACACTCCTTAATGGGGCTTCCCTGGTGTCTCAATGGTAAAGAACCCACCTGCCAAAGCAGGAGACTTGGGTTTGATCCCTGGGTTGGGAAGACACCCTGGAGAAGGAAATGGCAACCCACGTCAGTATTCTTGCCTGGGGAATTCCGTGGACAGAGGAGCCTGGTGGGCTACAGTTCACAGGATCGCAAAGAGTCGAACTTGACCTAGGGGCCAAACAACACTCCTTAATATGGTACTGCTTCATTGTGAACACAATCTAGCATTCCAACACCATGCCACACTCAGGCTCTAGCTAAACTGAACTTGCTGTTTCTAGCAGCTGCCACACTTTCTGTTCTCCATGCCGTTATACTTGCACTTTCCTCTGTTAGAATCCCTTTCCTCCACTTGCCACTCAGCTAAATTCATCACAGAATAAAGTCTTTAGCTTCTATGATAGGTAAGCAATTTACTATGCTGAGACCCAATCTTGCAGAATCTCAGCTACAAATCCTGTATAGTTTTCTAGGGCTACTGTAACAAAGTACCAGTAACTGAGTGGTGTGACAACAGAAATGTTTTTATCCTCACAGTGTTGGAAGCTAGAAGTCCGAGATCAAAGTGTCAATAAGATTGGCTCCTTCCGAAGTTCATGAGGGAAGAATATGTTCCAGGCCTCTTTCCTTTGCTTATAGGTGGCTGTCTTTTCCCTGTGTCTTCACATGGTCTTATCTTCTGTAACCGGGTTTAAATTTCCTTGTCTTCTAAGGACATCTGTCATAATAGACTAGACTGATGATAGATTAGATTTTAACTTAATCACCTCTTTAAATACTCTATCACCAAATCCAATCACACTCTGAGGTACTGGGCATTAGGACTTCACGTATGAATTTCTTGGGGGATACAGTTCTGCACATAACATAGCCTTAAGTACCCCCATTCAATTGCTGTCTCTTCTTCGAAACCTTTATAATAACTCCTATTGTTGTTCAGTTGCTCAGTCCAACTCTTAGCGACACCTTGGACTGCAGCATGCCAGGCTCCTCTATCCCCTACTATCTCCCGAAGTTTGCTCAAATTCATGTCTATTGAGTCAGTGACGCTGTGTAATCATCTCATCCTCTGCCACCCCGTTCTCCTTTTACCTTCAAATAACTCCTAGATAAAAATAAATTTTATCTCCCTTTGACCTCCCTTGCTAATTTAATTGCCTTTTTAATGATTCTGATCAGTTACTGTCTTGTGTTACAGTTGTCAATATCTGTGTCTATTTCTGCCATTTGTTCATTTAGTATTTACCAAACACCACCCATGTGTCAGGCATTGCACCAAAGGCCAGGTAACAGAGGAGTAGCAGACACTGCTGGTGCCCTGCTCATGACTTCTGGCATCCATTGCTGCAGTCCTTCTGATGCTGTCATACGAAGCTCCATAACTCTCTGCCCCAGGGTTTTCTACCTGGCGCCCAGAGCAGGTGAGAGTGCCAAGGAATTAATGCCCCTTGGGAGAAGCCCTCATTCAGTGGTGGACAAGTGTTAGTGCATAAACAGCCCAGTTTCCTCATCTGCTTAGCCCTTCCCTTCACTCAAAGGTTGTTGGTGGATGAGCACCCCAATCCCACCCCTTGAGATGTGGGACATGGAGGTGTGACTTCCTAGAGTTTCCTAATAGGATGGAACCTCAGCTGCCCTTGTCAGATCCTGGTTAGAAGATACATGAAGATACATGTTCTCATTATCAGCTCCTTCCCCCATTCTCACCTTATTTTCCTATTTTCTTCCTTTGCTACCCATGCTTCCTGGGATTAGCTTCAAATGAACTACTTGCTCTCAAATATTTGTCTAGGGGATGACTTTTAGGGGAAGTCAACCTACATCAAGTGGTAAGCAGAGAGGCTGTGGTTTCTATTCTTATATACCTGATTCATTACTCACGGGAATACAGACAAAAGAATAGGGAACTGCATTACAGTATGATAACAGCTAACATTTATTGTGTAGTCTCAAAACAATTCTAATACAAATAAGAAGTGTTATTATTCTCATTTTACATATCAGGAAACCAAGGCTTAGAGAGAGGTTGAGAAGTGGCCCAGCAGCAACACAAGTTGAGAAGTACTAGGGACTCAAACCCAGGTTTGTAAGATTTCAGAGCCAGAGCTCTGCCATTTAGTTACCTGCCTCTCCTTTAGCCATTTCTTCTCCATTTGTAGACAGTTTCAGAAGGGTTTGATTTGTTTAAAAACAATCAAAAAAAGTAAGAAACAAACAAAAAAGACCTAACAGGGATTGAAGTCAGGGGCCCTAAACATCGTCCAGATGTCTAATTAACGGCTACAGTCCCTCACGTGGGACCCTGGCATGAAGAATTGAGGCCCTGGGACCTAGACCTGTCCTAGGCCCCGAAAGGCATTTATCCCTCCAATCCAGCTGCTTACTTAGAGCAAATCCACTCCCCATAAATGCCAGCAAGACCTGGGAACACATGGGTTGCTTCTTAGAGCAGAGCTGGTGGACCTGGCATCATGGGTAAGAGCAGATGCTAGGATTGTCAGCTTCCAAGTGGTTAAGACCTCCTCTGGGCCTAGCTTGCCTCCTGAAGGCTGAAGTATTGGGATGGGGGAAGGACTCTTTGGCCTTCACTTACCAGGTCACTGATGACAGCAGTTCAACCCTAGCAGCTAATTGTTCCATTCTCCAAGTGACCCTTTTGCCTGTTCCAGGTCACAGGGGCAGCCTTTCCCACGGGAAGTCAGAAAGGCCGCTCCTTACGAGAGCTGGCCTGGTGGGGAGAGTGGCACCAGGTGCCTGGGGATGGCCAGGGAGGCAGGCTCACCGCTGATGGGCCACAGGGCTCTGCCATTTCTTGAGAGCACAGCCAGGACACAGTGTCTCGAAGGCCAGCACACTGTTCTTCCTCTCCTGCCTCTCAGATAAAAATGAGCAAAAATAACAAAAAACCCAAACAGCAACAACTGAAACTCTGATTACTTACTCCATTCTATTTTCCCAATTGCTGTAAATAGAAAACCTAGATATGAACTTGTGTGCTCCTGGTCCTGTGACTGTGGGCAAGTGGCCTCCCTCCGCCAGCCTCTGCTCCCCCTGCAGGCAAGCGGGGGAAGTACCGTACCTGAGGCCCCGTGGATAAGGGGGCATGCCTGGAGTTCTATCCTGTGCCTCTGTTGATATCAAAACACAAGGCTTCCTCTTAGAAAGGTGCTGCCATGTAACAGGAAAGGCTCCGAAGGTTCAGCTCCAGGGCGCTGCACTGCCTTCAAGGCAAAACTGTCAAGGAGATGTGTTACATGCTGATTGTTCTCAGTGTCACTCTTTTCTGTCTTCTAAATTTCAGGCACCCAGAATTCTTGATGTCTCTGCCTGTCACCACATTTCACCTGCTTATTAGAAAGAACCTGGAATTTGGATTTTCCTGAAATACTTAGATTTGGGTTCCAGCTCTTCCACTTACTGGCTGCACCCTGGTGGACACATTATTTCTAGAGTTTCACGTCTGTTTCTCATTTTTAAAAGAAAGGGACTGGTCTGAATAATCTGTTAATTTTTCTTAGTTTAAAATGATAGATTTGAAGGCGGATGGTTGGGTTAAGAATCTCTAGGTGTGTAAACTTGGACAAGCCCTCATCTTCCCCAATTCTGAAGTCCCTCATTTGTAAAGTTGGAATAATGAAAGCCTGTACCTCTTGGGCAGGAGTGCAAAAAGGGTCAGTGCAAAGGAAGCATTTCTTAGGATAGTGTCTGGCACGTCCTCTTTAGTAGTAGCATCAGTGGCAATAATACTCCTAATGTAAATCATATCTGGTTTAGTATCAAGTTGGTCATTTCCACCTTAGCCTGAATTTCAATCATGGCATTTCTTTTCTCTGGAGGCAGTTGCTTTATAAAGATGTGGTTAGCTGTTAAAGGGATTTCAGTCAGGAGGGGATATCTGAGGGGTTTTTCTAGCTTCCTGGAAAACATTCCACTTGGGCAGTTGTTTACTCCAACAATCTATAAAACGTGTTTTGTATGGATAGTTAGGTCAGGAGGTTTTATATATATATATATATATATTTTTTTTTTTTTTTTTCCTGTAGAGGCTCTCGCAGGAATATTATACAAGTCTTCAGTCTTGAGTGTGTGGGGTCTTATGGGAAGAAGGTGGAGGAGTGTGGCTGAAGATGCCAACCCAGTCCTGGTCTGACATTTCCTTTTTAAAATTTAAAGAGGCTTCCTTATGCCTTTGCTTTCTCTCAGCTCTGCCAGCTGGCATTCTTATTCAAATCAGACCCCAGTCAAAGGGGCATACACATCAGTCAGTCAGACAGGCTTGCAAGTGTGGGCTTTAATTACCCTGTGCCTTCTCATAGTTCTTACCCAAAGGAAATCGCTGCAGCAGAGGTTCTGTACTTGACTCTCAAAGGAAGCATTCAGTGAATAGAAAGTGAAAAACCTTCACAGGAAATTGGCATGCAGAGAGAGATGGAGGCAGGCCATAGTGACTGCATCAATAGGACCCTCAGGACACAGCAGAGAACCTCCTCCAAGCCCTCAACTACCAAAGACTACCTTTTCCAAGGAGTCCCTTATTAAGTATTTTTGTTTGTGATCTGTAGGCTTCCACAGCAGAAGTCCTTCTAATCATAGACACATATGGTTCAAAAGGGCCTTAATGGGAGTGTGTTCTAATCATCCATCTGACATGTAAATCCTTGCTATGCCATTGCTGCCAACAAGTCTGCTCATCTTCGCTGGAATGTCTCTAAGGGCAGAGTACTTATCTGGTCCAGTCTATTTTTGTCCAGGTATCATAGAAACCTCTTCTGTAGTGAAGTGCTATTCCAGAAGCTTCCACCTTTTGCTTCTAGAACTTCTTTGTGGCACTCAGCATGTATAATATCAGTGTTTCCCAAAATTCTGTTACTGATTCACCACTTTTGCAATTGTACTCTATCTATGCTCTACCAGAGAAGGCAATGGCACCCCACTCCAGTACTCTTGCCTGGAAAATCCCATGGATGGAGGAGCCTGGTAGCCTGCAGTCCATGGGGTCGCTAAGAGTCAGACTTGACTGAATGTCTTCACTTTCACTTTTCATTTTCATGCATTGGAGAAGAAAATGGCAACCCACTCCAGTGTTCTTGCCTGGAGAATCCCAGGGATGGGGGAGCCTGGTGGGCTGCTGTCTATCGGGTCGCACAGAGTCGGACACGACTGAAGCGACTTAGCAGCAGCAGCAGCAGCTATGCTCTACCTGTAATACTATCAACTGAATATTTTCTTTTTTATTAATAGTTGATTTGTTTTTTTTAAACTTATATACTTTAGTTTTTTCCTAAACAGAATTATCTGTGAAACTATGGGTTTAAAGGGTAAGTATTGTTTTTCACATTATGTATAAAAATAAATATATATATCAAGTAAAACCATCTGTGTACCCTCAGCAGTGGCACACCATCTGCTTGTTCTCTAAATAACAATGATTTATTGTATTCAAGTAAATGTAGTAAGTTGGAGGGCTGTTTACTGAGTTATTATTATATGCCAGATATACAGTAGGTGCTTCATATATGTTATCTCAATGTCAAGTTTGATGCTCACAGTAACCCTCTGAACACTGTTATTTTTATACTTGCTTTTTGAAGCATAAAACAAGTTTCTAAAAATAGAAGCTCCAAGAGGGGCTCAAGTTATACAATTAATGAATGAGGAATTTAGGACTTGAATTTAAGTCTTCTGGTTTCAAATGCCAAGCTTTGTCCCCTGGTCCACAGAATGACCAAGAGTTCTGTTTGCCCCGGAAAGAAGGCTAGGTGCCTTTGCTTTATTTTCTCAGCCAGGTTAGGAGAAGATATCCTTGTCTCCAAACAGCTTACTGCTGACGAGAACAGCTGTTCACTCTTCGGTGAGTGCTCTTACAGACTCAGAATAGACAGCTAAGCTGATAGACAGAAATGTGGCAGGTGTCCCCTAGCACCATTCCTTTCTTTTGAGAAATGTCTCCATCTGTAATCAAGCCCAAGTCACACCAGACACAAATAACAGATGTCGATATAAAAGTGGGATGGGGAGGAGGAGAGGACAAGCATACTTTCTCTCCAGCATCTCCGATCTAATCCTTTCAGTCCTTCATGTGCTACTTTGAAGTTGTGTACCATGTGGTGGGATGGGAAGGTGGGAATGCAAGAAAAGATAAGGGCAAGTTACAGGAAACCTGTTGGAGCTATTTGCTCGCTCAGGAATGAGTAAAAAACTCTGAAAACCATGAAGATCCTCAGGCTAAGGAAGTGATGTGCTCCACTGTTTCCTTCTGTTAGCTCCAAGAGCTTAGAGCACTTGTGTGCAGATTTCCTAAGCAGCTCTATATTGATATTTTATAATATCTTAAAAAGAGCACCATGATAAAGGGTCTCATGAACAAATACATTTGGGAAATAGTCTTTACTATGTTCTCTTTTTGTTGTTTCTAAATGTATATTACCCATTAAAGACTGAGACAAGACACTTGATAACTTTGTTTAACTCAGTGCTTCTCAAAGTTATTTGATCACTGTCAGGAAAAGTTGAAAGGCTTTGAAATGGCCACGAGGTTTCTGGGTGTCCTTTCAATTGAATATGAAGCATTAACCCTCTTAGCCTTTGGATTATTTGATTTTGTAGGAGTCTAGGTCTCTTACTGTCCTTGACCAAACTATTTTATATATCTGCAAATTGTTGACAACTAATAGTAATGCAAATGATTCTTGTTCTTGAAGTACACATACACTTTTTTTTTTTCTGGTGGAATTGCACAGATGCATCTGCTAGCAATTTTATTTCTGCATTTGTGACTGCTTATATATGTTCTTTGAATTCTCTTTTGAACTCGTTTTTTGCATCTCACTTGTTCTCTCATTATTTAATGAAATAAATAAAATCTTTGGAACATTTTAATTTTATATTTGTAGGAAAAGCATGATTTTTCTCTTTTTTAAAAATTACCCTTTCATACTCAGAATCTCATTTTGTTTCAAGTCTGTTATGAATTTGGTCTCTTCATATACTTGTGCATCTAGGCCCTGTGGCCTGCCAATTCTAGCCCCGGGCTTTCCCATCTCTTCCAGCTTAGCACCTTTAAGTCTCAATCTTGCAGTAACCTACTGCTTTCTGATCTCAGACTTCTTCCATAATGCCTATGGGCCGAGTAGCTTAGGGAAGCATGGCATGTAACATGCTTTCTCTAATGGACCTTCCTCTAATACGTTTTTTATTTTCCCGTCTTCACTTCTGGCATGATTGTCTACTCTCTGAGCTGTCATCCCCCAATCCTCACTTAACCAAATCCTTCTTATTTTCCTAGGGCCAGTCTCTTCCTCCATGCAGCCATTCTTGGTTATTCTAGCCTGAATTACTTACCTCCTACACTGAAGTGCCTTAACATTTTGTATTAGTCCTAAGGCATTCTTAACATACTTCCTGATGACATTTATGAACATTAAAAAAATCTCAACAAATTCCAGAAGACAGAATAATTCTTTATACTTTACAGTGAATGAATCATATGGTTGGTCCTGATGCATGAATTTGTTCTCTCAGACTCAGTCAGAATGCAAACAGTAATGTTGTTTCACGTGTGTGTGTGTGTGTGTGTGTGTGTGTGTCCATGTGCATAAGTGCATAAGGAAAGGCTCTCAAGTATGATAGGGACTTGTTATGGGAGGAAGTCAGGCAAAAGTGAGGTCTCAAGCAGCATCTTGCAGAGGCTTCATTCATCCTGACCCTGAAGGGAACTCCAGCTTATAAACTGTGTCTTAGAGTTGTCCTCATCAGTGAGTACCCTTGATTTAGATAAGGGTCACCCACTCACTTTCTGGGCATTCATGAGTGAAGAGTGGCTCACTATAGCCTAAGGGAAGCTCTCCAAAGATACACTATGGGTGCTGCTTGTTAGAATCATAATCTTACAGGAAAAGGGTGCATGTAGGTTAAACGGGAATCAAGTGGGATCTAAGTGGAGCACCAGCATTGCCCATGACCTGCTTCATATTTTTAAAAATTGTGTTAAAATACATATAACATAAATTGCACATCTTAACCATTAATCACTGTATAGTTCAGTGGCGTAAAGTACAGGCATATTGTTGTGCATCACCACCATCGATGCACAGAACGCTTTTCATCTTATAAAACTGAAATTCTGTACCTATGAAACTAGAGCTTTTCAGTCTTCCCTTTCCCCTGGTCTTGGCATCACCTTTCTTCTTTCTCTATGAAAGTGGGTTGTTTTAAGTACTGAATAAAAATGGAATCATACAGTGCTTTTCCTTGTGGGGAACTGTAATGTTTTTAAACAAATAGCAATGCTCCTTTAAGAAACAGTGCCCTGAAATGTTCACATCACAGAAATGGCCTCCCCAGCCCTCTCTTATTCTCGCTGGGTGCTGGAGATCCCTCTCTCTATTGCCAACAATTTCAAATAATGGATCAAGAAGAGGCCCATGAAGACTCTGATTTACCTGGATCTGTGTGACCCCTAATCCTGGTGAGGAAATCAAGTCACTGTGGTGCCTCTTAGAATATAGATTGCAAGGCTCCCCGTCTGACCAGCAAAGAAGACGCTCCCACGACGGAGTACATGTTCTGTTTACAAAAATTCTTTCGCTCATGAATTTTATGTAGCCAGAAAAGCACTTTCAGCATCACCAATATTGAACAACAGTTTTCAGCCTTGCTTTTAAGCCCCTGAATCCTTTCTTGAGATGGTATTTCTCACAGGGTGCCATTTTTCAACAGCAGTGCAGAACTGTCCAGTCTGGTGGAGGGGAGATGGGGTCAGGATTGCTTACAGCTCACCTTCCTCTGCAACTCCTGCTCTTCCATCTCGCAGCCATAAGGCTTCTTGAGAAAAGCTTGCAAATTAATGAACTGAAAAATATGATGCAGCTTTCCTTTTTCTACTTGCGTGTGATACATGAAAAGTGGCCCCATTGCCACTAGAAAATACCCACCTCAAGTTCCTGCATCCTGTGAATGTTACCTTATTTGAAAGAAAAAAAAAAAGGCCTTTGAGAGTGTGCTTATGTTAAGGATTTTGAGAGGAGTACATCACTCTGGATTATTCCTATTGGCCCTGAGTGCCATCACAATTGTCCTTACAAGAGGGAGAAGAGGGCAATTCTAGACAGAAGAAGAGAAGAAACAGTCACGCAGAGGATAAGGCAAAGTGAAGACAAAGACCGAGATTGGAGTGACATCACCACACACCAGGAAAGCTGGGGCACCCACCAAGAGCTGGAACAGACAAGGAACTGATTCTTCTCTATAGCCCCTAGAGAGACCATAGTCCTGCTAAGATTTTGGTCTTGTAGTATTCAGAATTGTGAGAAAATTAATTTCTGTTATTTTCGGTTAGTGGTAACTTGTTGCAGCAGCTGCAGGGAACTAATCTACTGTACAATTAAAAAACAATTTTCAAAGGTGTAAAAAAAATTCTGTAGCTTCTCTACGAAAATGGTGGTTGATTATTATCATTCCTTCCCTAGGCAGAAAATCAGGCCAAAACTAACGTCTAGGATAAGCACCCAGATAGAATCAGAAAGCTTTCCCTCTCTTTCCTCCTTAGGGGAAATAATAAATCTCTGTCATTTCAGGTAGTTTGATTGTCAAGTTTTCCTCTACCCACTTATGTTTTGGGGAAACTCTTATGAGTGAAGATTCAGTTTCAAAGTACAAGCCCTCTTTCCAGTCAAATTTTCCTCTGCAAAGACTGTATTTTGTTTCTGAGCTACTCATCCATTTACATAAATTCTATCTTGGGGGGAAGGAAATGTAAATGTCTTGGAAAAAAGGACTGTCTGCAATGAGAGATAATGTACCTTTTTATTTTGTGGAAATTAAGCTATTACTGAGTCCATAGAATATAAATATTTAAGCCATTAAGCAGCATTTTATGCAAATCAAATGAGAAAGAAACATCACTTGCAGAAAAAATAAATTTTCTTTCATGAAAGTAGCATGACCACTTCTTGACTGTTGTTGTATACAGAATAATCAGTAGGATGGTGTGTGCTGTTAACTCTCAAAAAACAAACTCTGTTAACTATTGTAAGTCTTAGTAATTCCTTGTGTTTGTGTTGTGCTTTACAGTTGGCAAAATGCTTTTATATTCAGTCTCTCTCACGTCAATCTTGCGAGAAGCTAAAACAGGGATCACCAGTTGGTATAGGTTGAATTCTGTCTCTCCTGTTCCCTCCCCAGCCTCACCAATTCACAAATCAAAGCCCTAAACCACAGGACCTCAGCAAGTCACTTTATTCAGAAATAGATTCACTGCAGATGTCATTAGTTAAGATGAGGTCATATTGGGGTAGGATGGGTCATTACCCCAATGTGACTGGTGTCCTATAGAAGGGGAAAGTTTTAACACAAACACACATAGAGGGAAGAGACACAGGGAGAAGATGGTCATCTATAAGCTAAGGAACATTATAAGGCACCCAAGTTCTGGCACTTTGTTAAGAGCCCTAGCAAATTAATACATCAATGAGGTTTAGGAAGTGTCTTCATATCAAGAGGCCACTGTGGAGATCCTAGAAGAATGGATTCAGGACTAAACCCTGGATTTTCTGATTCCTAGTGCAGTGATGTGAAAATTTCAGATTCAACTGATTATCGGTGCCTGGGCTGGGTAAGAGGATATGAGCCATTACCTGCAGCTGAGGAGTATCTAGAGCAGAAGCTGAGTAGAATCTCATCCTCTTCTACAGTTGGGGTGGGGTAGGTGGAGAAATCTGGATAGGTAGCCTAGGCTCAGACAGTAGAGAAGGCTGAATCACAGCAAGCGGTTGGGGTGTGGAGTTTTCAGACATATGCTAAGACTAACACAGCAATTGGTTCCAGGGTCGCAAAGCTGTAGTTAACAGCTGAAGAAGTCAAGGAAATGGTGAGCTGAAGTCAAGCTCACCATTCCAACTGCTCGATAATTGATTGAGAATAGGGCAGGAGAGTTGTGTCGTCAAGGTGTAGGAATCTCTGTAGACTGAGACAGCTCAAGTGATTCTCCTTGGGGACTGTTCCTTAGGACTAGAGGAAGCAGTTTTGAGAAGCAGGGGTTCCAACAAGGATTACGCAACTCTTTTCCACTTATTTCTTGTTTTTGAGTGGGGTGGAGAAATGTTAGGGAAATAGTGAGTTTCAAGGAGGGATGTATGCCAGCTGACATCCTCTGCTAGGGCTCCGATTGAAGCCATGTATGTGCTCACAGTTGAAGATGACTGCATGGTTCCTAGCTACCTTGTAAGGAAGAAGTGCAGATACAGTCCACTGCTGCTCCCTGAAAGTTACTTTCAGGGAGGACAAAATGAGGAGAAAATGCCCAGTTTGTTGGAAGGCATGTGATTGTAGGGAAGAGACCCTCAAGGCTACCTTAAGGATCCAAGAGTTCATCATATTGATTCATGGGTGAATAGAGGAGACAAGAACATTGGCCATGAACTTGACCCTCTCAGAGATTTTGATACGGTGTGAATACTGGAGGGATCTAGCACTTCTCTGACATTACACTGTCCATCAGCAGAGTGGATTCCTTGATTCCTACTCCTATCCTCTGCTCCTTCTTCTCTCTGATTCTGTAACTCGTGCCCCTTGGCAACCATAAGCTCATTTTCCAAGTCCATGAGTATGTTTCTGTTTTGTAAATAAATTCCTTTATATCATTGCTTTTTAAATTCTGCATACAAAGGCTCTTGTGATGTTTCTGCTTCTCTGTCTGACTTACTTCACTCAGTATGACAATTTCTAAGTCTATCCATGTTGCTGCACATGGCATTATTTCATTCTTTCTAATGACTGAGTAATATGCCAGTATATACATGTACCACATCTTCTTTATTAATTCCTCTGTTGATGTTAAAACTGTTTTGATAAGGCTGGAGAATGTCTAATTTCCAAAGACAACCTAAGAAGGAGGGGTTATAGAATCATATAGTTTGTTCCTCATAATGACTGTATGAGAGAGATACCATTGTTATTCTCGTATAAAATTAGAAGACTGTGCACAGAAAAGTGTAGTTAACCTCCCTAAGGCCACACAGTTAACTAGTGACAGGGGTGGAATTGAAGCAATTCTATTTGATGACAAAACTTGTACTTTTAACCATTAGGCTATACCCTTAGAAACATTTGCTTTTCAGTAGGTACCCAATGAAATAAGATAAAATAAATCTTTAATATCTCCAGTTAAATTTCTGCTTGGTTAAAATAATCCAACTTGCCTTTCGTATTTCTAAGTGGTTAGTGTGGTTTGTAGCAATATGGCCAGCACAGTGAACCAGCAGACTGTCGTCATGAGGAAGGCCAGAGCTCATGAGGAAGGCCACAGCACTCATCTGCTGCCTCTTCCATGGGTGAGTGTAACAGCAACAACAAAATAATAGCATCTCAACAGAGCTGCTTTCAGACAGGCTTATGTTTTTGGCTTAGACTTGACTTTGTAATATCTTATGACTAAGAGAGAAAGGTAGAAAGTTATGCTGTTTTTGAGATAATACAGTAACCTAGAAAGGCTGAGAGATTTGCAGGAAAACTACCAACCAAAAGTAGGAAACAGATTTTGTTTAGAAAACTTAAGCAAATGTTTTAAATTTGGGCTGGGGAGCCTATTGCTCCTGTGGACTTGTTAGTTAATTTGAAGCTTCTTGACAGATTTACATTCCTCAGGTCAATGGTAGGGATGGATTGAGTGTCACATTCCATTTGCAGAGGAGACCATGTGTTGGGCTCAAAAACTCACAAAAATAGTTTTTAATTTGCTTCCCCTGTAAGCGGATTATATAGAATTTGATTTTCACATCCTGAAGATCTTACCTCTATCCCAGCCACTGTTACAAGAGCTGTCAGAGGATGGGGACTGCTTCTGTTCTGCAGAGCCAAATAACCATGTTTCCTTTCAATTTAACAGCAGCACAAGGCAGGAGCACTTTCTCTAGATATGTCCTGTGTGCTTAGTCACTCAGTCGTGTCCAAATCTTTGCGACCCTATACTTTGCTTTAAATCCTGAAAAACCTGGAGACATTACCCACCTACCCGACTTCGAAAATAGAGGATTCCTGTGGGGTGTATATTTCTATCATAATCACAAGATGAACTGATAGTGCCTGAGCTGAGATAGAAGAAACAAATAGAACCATTTCCAAATGCTTTTGCAATGAATACAGCTACACAGTCTTAAGAAAGCAAAACTAGTCAAATTATGTGTGATTTTTCTAAAAAATAAGCCGTCTTTATAGGCACTGCAGTCTGGAAATGTAAGCTGTAGAAAGCAGTATATATGTGTGTGCGTGTGTGTGTATGTGGTTGTTTAGGTGTCTGTCTTCAAAGGCTGCAATTATCTGACAATGCTTGCTTAAATTCTTCAGAGGATTTTTACTATAGTGTATAACAAATGATGGAGGAGAAGAATAAATCTAGCCAACCATTGTGCAGTTCCAGATGCAGTCTGAACACTGCCCAGGGTTCTTATGATGAAAAACATTAATTTCCCTTAGTTCCTAGAAGGGTTTTGGAACATAGGTATTTATTCCCAGCTCTTTGGGGAATGCATTTTTCTTTATTTATTGTATTCATAAAGCCACTTGCTCCCATTTAGCTTCAGGATACACTAATATCATTTAAAAATATCCAGAATTAATAACCATTTAAAAATCCCGTGAAAGCTAAGTTTTTCATTGTCTTTGTGTCCTTCAAAAGGAAACATAGGAAGGCAGGATAGAAAGTAAGAAGAGGAAATGAAAGGCAGATCAAACTTAACTGGCCAGTGCAGTAGCTTGAATGACATTTTTTTCTTCTCTTACTTCATAAATGACCAGTGTTGCAAGCTAGT